TTCCGGCAACCGCCACCCCAACCGGAGGAGTTACGCGGGCATGAAATAATTAAAAAAAAAAAAGAACAAATTTCCACATCTGCATTTGCAATGAATCGACAACCACTTTCTGGGACGATTAACAATGAACACAATGAACACATCTGCATCGACGATTGTGTGAGTGTATTCACCATTTCATATTTCTGCAAATTTCGTTTGTGAAAACAACAACAACATTCCATACCAGGCATTCAAGACAACACCTTTAATACACGTCTGCATTCCATTTCGGGAGATGACACCAAAACACATGTTGTTGTGTGTGTGTGTGTGTGTGTGTGTGAGTGAGTGTGAGAGAGAGAGAGAGAGAGAGAGAGAGAGAGAGAGAGGGAGAGAGAGAGAGAGAGTGAGAGAGAGAGAGAGAGACAGAGACAGAGAGAGACAGAGAAAGAATCCATAGAGTCATTAAAAAAGGGAAGTGCATTGTGCACTTAAACGGCACCAATTGAAATCATACAATGACGGAATAATCCGTCCCACCAACCGAAAACCATCTATGGCAAACAAAAAAGAAAATGGCAATGTACACACGACGACTTATTGACCCAATTGGATCACCACCCACTTCCGTCGCCACGATGGGGAATCGAGACATGGCGCGTCGACGACGGCCCGCACACGGTTGATTATACGACGGAAAGGCCCACACTTACTCGCCATCGACATCCATGGATGCCACAATGCTCACAACGAAGGCGGCACCAACTCTAACGCTCACGAATGACCTTCACTATCTCTAACAGAGCATGGCACATCAGTTTGCCGACTTCGTCCGATGCTGCGTAGTGCAACCAGTGCTTTTTCTGCACTTCAACCTCCGCTTCCAACGCCTCGCACTGCCAGATTTGGATGGAGCATTGGCGCTTGCTGGCGCTCTCCATCGTCGACGCCATTAGCGCCCCGTGCTTCTCCATACATTCTATCATCGCTTCAAAAGTTTGCTGCCTTGTGCTCTTCCTCTTCCCGAAACCACCTGGGCCACCCGTCGTTTGAGAAGAACCTTTCGTCGACCCGTCATCGTCCTGGTCCTGCCCTGCAGCAACGTCCCCATTGCCCACAGATTCAGGATCCGCAGAAGAGGTGGACGAAAGGCGCAAACCAGCCGGAGCACCGGTGTCGGCGACGTTCTTGGGGTGTATGGTGTGGTTCTTGGGCGTGGACCCCACTCTCTTGTCGTAAACCACACGATCCATGTTGAAATTGAAGCCCTTGGAAGTCCTCTGCTTCACCGACAATTGAAAGAAGTTTTGTTTCCCGGACAAGCAACTGAAGTGATGCACCTTCTTGAATTGCTGCATCAAATTGTCCCACTTCTTCCCACACTTATCCGCGTCTCTGCTAACGCCCAACTTCCTCAACCTTTGCACCACTATGTGACCGCGTGTTTCGTGTTCAGTTTTTGAACGCTGTGAACGCGCGTTCACTGAACGCCCCTGAACGCAGTTGACGCGTTTGCGCAGGGGTCTGTCGGGGCTGGGGGGGTGCC